TGACTTGTGCGAGAGTCAAGACACAACATTAGAAACCGTACGGGAGTTTAGAACCTTTGCATGTGCCTATGGGTAAGTGGGAAGACATTGCTATGGATTTTGTCACTAAACTGCCCAGAACAAAAAGTGGTCACGACATGATTTGGGTGGTCGTTGATCGATTCACTAAGAGTGCGCATTTCGTAGCAGCCAAGGAAAAATGGTCTATGGAAAAGCTTGATAAATACTAGTTAAATAATATGATTTCATATTAATATATTAGAACTTATAATATATATTAATAAATCATAATAACCTCTTCTCAAAAGCCCATCCTTACAAATTGTTCCGGTGAAATGCAACCCAAATTGACCATGCTACTTTCGGGTCAAATACATACCAAATATAGTTATGGACTTAGACACCTTATCCAACCATTCTAAGATAAAAATAGAATCTTAAAGACTTACCAAAGTCCACAAGATGGTCAAGTTCAAGAACGAGGGCTTGGTTTGTTGGATCTTCTTCTTCTTCTTCTTCTTCTTCTTCTCACTATCTCCTTCTTTTTAAGCTTCACAAGACACTCTAGCTCACAAAATGAAAGAGAATGGGGATTAGGGTTTAGCACAGACGTTCCTAAGGTTTGGAGACTGATAGAAGGTCAGCCTCAAGGTCCTTAAGGAGATTATATAGGGTGCAAACCCTGAAATTAGGGTTTTCTCTCTTTGTCTCCTACTCGCCGAGTTGATACTTCTGACTCGTCGAGTAGGTCCTGACCCCGCATCCATGAGATGGCGTCTACTCGCTGAGTCCATGCACAAACCCTAAATATCATGTAAATTATTTAATACCTGAAACAGGGGTTACAAGGAGGTTTACTGGGAAAATTGCAACGTTGGCTACAAAAATATTCTAAGATTTTCACAGATTTGGCTTACGAAAGTCTAGATTCCCCCATAACTTTGAACCTTCATAACCTTTTCCTACGAAGTCCATTTGAGGTTAATTTTTTCTCATTATGTTCTATGTAATCCAGGACCATACTGTAAAGTCCCAATTTCAGAATAAAATTTTGATTTTTAAAATAGAATAAACACCCATTTTTAATAAAGTTACATTCACGTCAAATCACTTGTTCATAAGCCATTATTTATGAATCAGAGTTACAAACAAGATAATGCAGAATCTCGAATTATAAAACTATTGTGTGTGTGTGTGTGTACAGTCCCACCTTCACACTTCGATAAGTACCTGGAAATATTTAATCCAAAATGTAAGCACGAAGCTAAGTGAGTTCCTCAAAATATCACATACAACACATCATAAATAAACAACTATGAGTTATCAGCAACCCTGGGGACTGTTAGCAGTTCCAGTGGGCTAACAACACATCCTGTGGGATAACAGCATGCCCTGTGGGCTAACAACACAATGATTTGGGGCTAAAAGCTCATAAAATGACCTAGTACTACATCTAGAGAACTAATGATCAAGGTAGTGACTTTATACCTCCAAAGATGTAGAAATGAGAAGTAGATAACGGATCTAAGATGGAACCACACTTATAAGAAACACCAAAATCTTCTTCTTCCTGCAACTTTCACAAAAATGGAGTTCAAGCTCTCAAAACACAAAGGAGGCTATGGTTTGGATGGGGTTCATTTTCAGAGGGTAAAGGCTACCAAATGAGGCAACCCTAGGAGTTAGTGTCCTTAAATATGGAACCAACCTTGAGATTAGGGTTTTAGGCCTAAAATGGCTTCCGCGCTATAGCTACACAATGCCACGCCATGGCCAAACACGTATACACATTTTTCATTAACTGACTGCCATGTCGTGACACTTCAAGTCATATTGTGTCCATGCCAACTTAAAAAAAAATACTTGAAAATTAATACTTGGAACAAGTATGTTACAAAGGAGTTGAGTAAGGCCGCCCGGAGGCGCCAGACGAGCACCAAACGCGATCGGGAGGCGCGCACCATGCAAGGCTGGCAGGCAGGCGCTAGACAAGGCTGGCAGGAGAGTTCCAGAAAGGGCTAGCATGAGAGTGCCAAGAAGGGCTTGCAGGGGAGTGTCAGGTGCGGCTAGGAGGGGAGTATTAGGTGGGGCTAGCAGGAGAGCGCCAGACAAGGATGACACACCAGAGTTGTATGGGCCATGTTAATGGACCTAACATCAGCAAGTCCTCCCAGTACGATGTGACTGGTACGACCAATGACATTGGACTGGACATAGTCATATAAACCGTACATCATTAGAAGTCGTATGGAATGTATGGGCTAAGGACTTAACCTTGAAGCTTATTGTCCCGACGTGATTGGGTGCCATGACGTGGTGAAGATGGGAATCATGACTGTTTTGTCGAGAAGGTGCCACGACGTAGCTAAGGAATGGCTACGATTGAAGGTCAACTGACGTTAACTTTGATCGTTGACTTTTTGACCTGATTGACTTTTGGTTAAATTGCTAGTCTTAGAGTGTGGACCAAGGTTTGAACTTTGAGTATTTCGATAGGTAGTTTGGAGTACCAGTTTCCGAACTTTTTGAGCTATGGTTGCTTGACTACAAGTGTGAGGTAAGTGTTCTTACTATACTATGAATGATGCTAGTTGTCTTTGTGATACTTGCATGGAAGACCATGGGGGTAGCCCATGACAATTGTATGTAAGACCGAGAATTAACCATTAAAATTGTAAGGGAAGACCGTGGGGGTAGCCCATGGCACTTGGACGTAAGACCATGGGGATAGCTCATGGTAATTCTAGGAAAGACCATGTGGGTAACCCATGACACTTGGATGTAAGACCATGAAGGTAGCCCATGAAATTTCAGGGAAAAACGCCCATAGAAAATGTATATATGGTAAGTGGTATTTTGGGAAACTCACTAAGCTTTGCGCTTAAATTTATGTTTAAAATATTTTCAGGTACTTCTGGTTCTAAAGGGAAGGGCCCGACTTGATCGCACTGCATCCTCTGGAGATTTATTATACATTGGCTGTTTTTTATTTTAGTCTGATGTTTTGGGAATACTTTTACCCTGATTGTATTTGGAACAAATGAATGAATGATTTTGATTATTTAAAATGAAATTTTTACTAAATATTTTTGGGACGTTACAACATATGTTGTGTCTCCTCTACTAGATACAAATGTTCATGAGTTGAAACTTGCTTAATAATCTTCTTTAAACGCTTCACATCACCCCCATCAACTATATGTATACCATACTTCAATGTAAGGCATTGATAATAGTTATGTCTTCTAAATTTGGCATCTCTTTGACAAATTCGTATAAATCTAGGAAATTTATATCTATGAAAACTTCTATTTGTATAAATTTGGGAAATTTGTAGTGATGGAAACTTCAACACCAAAGTTTCTAACAAATTGTCTAATGTATATCAACTCCTCATTTTCTAACTATCATTAACACCAACACAAACAACAATAAATAATCATATGGAATGTTTGAAATCATGTTATATCGACAAGAGCAGAAAGGATAAGGTGGAAATTTTTGATATGGAAATATGAAGAAAAAATGTAGTGAAAATTTTGTTATAAAAATCAGACAATTTTTTATGATAATTTTTTTTACAAAACAATCTCTTATAAGATAACATCCTCTAAAACGTTAGGATTTTCACAATAGAGATTCTGATCGTTGTAGTACTATATATGATTTTCGCACTCAACATGAAAAGATAATATATGATTTTTTTAAAAAAAACCCACAAATGTCGTAATCTTTCACACTCAAGCCTGCAAAACGGCGTTGTTAATTTTTTTTAAGAAAAAAGAAAAAAGAAAAAAAAACAGAGAGTAAATTTCACAAATGGTCCCTATGGTTTGAGGTAATTTGCACGTTTGGTCCCTAACTTATTTTTTTAACTCGGAAGGTCCTTACTGTTTGTTTTTGTTATGTGTTTGGTCCCTTCTATTTCTTTTTATTACGCGCTTGGTCCATGTCTTACCTAAAAAGACTATTATTTGATTAGGGAAAAGATGATGGGATAGGTAGGATAACGTGAGTGGAGTGGGATTGGGAGTGTGTTTATTTAAATAAATTAAAAAATCAAGGGTAAAATAGTCTTTTTAGATAAGACAGGGACCAAGCGTGTAACAAAAACAAACAGTAGGGACCTTCCGAGTTAAAAAAATAAGTTAGGGACCAAACGTGCAAATTACCCTAAACCATAGGGACCATTCGTGTAATTTACTCAAAAACAGACGATTAACATGTTCGCAAATGCTCGTCTGCGAAAATAGTGACTATTTGACTAATTTTCAATTTTTGTAGTTATTTTATGGTAAACAATTTGAAAAAAATAAAAACTTTCCGTTTAAGCTAAACATAAAAAGTGAAAACTTGAAGTTTTTTCTTTTTTAATATTGGAATTTGCTTGTAGGGGTTTACTTTATTGTTTTCTCATCTTAAGTTTTCTCATCTTAAGTGAATCAGGTATGTAGATGGTAATTACTACATGAGTTGCAAACTAAAATGGAATTGGATATTTACTCTATTTCCACGAAAGGCTACATGAGTTGCAAACTAAAATGGAATTGGATATTTACTCTATTACTAGTATCTAGATGTTGAAAAGATATTTCTCCTCCAAAGGTAGAAGGTTTAAGTCCCATTGTGAATGAAAGAAGTAGGATTTAAAAGGTGTGTGGTAGATATTCCAAAAAAACAAAATAAAAAAATGAAGCCATTCCGATTGAATTGAAGTTTCTATCTACACAAATTTGCAAGTTTAATTTTTTAAACTTAGGGTTGTAATTTTAAACTCATGTTTCCATTAGAATGTGTGTAAACTTATATGTGCAAATTTAAAATTTAGAGTTTCTATATTCGTAAAAATTGTCTTTGTAAAGTAAAAAAAATCCCAGATTATAAGATGTAGCGACCAGCTTAAGGGTTGAAAGAATTTAAACTTTGAACCGGCCTGACTTCTATTATATATACGTATCCATCCAATGATCCAAGTATACGTGCATGAAGTCATGAGAAATAGCATGTTAAACAATTATTTTCCATTGCTTAATTAACTATAATAAAAGTGTTATGTTATATACATTGCTTCGAAAAAGCCTATAGATACAATAAGGTCTAAAAATTAATTACAACAATGGACATTTATTTTTCAAATAAAACTTTACACTTCACAAGTTTTGCTACTTCAATTGTGACAAAAAAAATATCTTCTTATTTTTCAAATTTCAGTATACCTCGATGAACAAATTACTTTTTAGCAGTATGTTCATCGAGCCACGTAATAATATCAGTAAGAACCCGAGTAATGATCTCATCAGGCTCCCCATCCATTAATGAATGCCATGCATCATCATATAAGTTATATTTCTTGTCTGGACTCTTTGCTTTATCATGCAAAGCTTTACTCACAGACGGATCAGTCACCATATCAGCTTTTCCATGCAATATCAACAATGGCAATGAAACCTGTAGCAGTAACATGACATGGCTGAATGGGTAATGATGTATCTATGAATAAAACATTGAATAAATCGTCTGAATAAGATTATATAACCATTTTATCATTACATTCGAAAAACTAAATTTGACAATATTCTATCAGTTTCAACGTGAAAAGAGTTAGGAGGGTAAAAAGAACAAGGGAAAATAGGTAAATTTTTAGTGCCTTAATAGCATTAAGCCAAGTTTTTTTAATTTGGCTTTACCCATTAAGTCATTCTGTCTTGATTAAGTAAAAACGAAACAGACTTATTTGTAAACTCTCCCACTTATATAAACATCTGATTTTTTAACGAGTTGTTAGGGTATTTTTAGTTATATAAAAACACATACGTTTTCAAGTTGACTTTCGATCTCTTGTGTTGTCTTTAAGAGTTCCATAGCTGTTCCCAAACGTGGTTTATCCTTGTAACCGATAACATTATAGTTTGGCTAAATATAGTAAAACGGTAAAAAAAGTTAAAATAGTTTTCGATAAATTACCAAACAATATAAAACCACAAAAATTAAACAAACCAAATGCTTCTTTTTAGGGTCTCTGAATGCCATATCACCGAGATCCTTTTGTGGAACAAGCTTCATCTTTGGGAGAACCTTCGCCATACCCATGAGACATTTTGTTACTGCCCATGGTGGGACCACATCGTCTGCAATCTACAATACTTTTAATTCATTATCTTATAATAATATGTTGTAAATTGTATACCAAGGCAAGGGTAAAATAGTACTTTGCACATAGGCGCAACAAGGACTGCACCCGTCCAGAATGTTGGTTGTTTAAGGTGCACCTTTAGAGCCACGGCTCCACCCATTGATTGCCCGAGCAAGAATCTTGGAAGATCACGTATTTCGGGATTTTCTATTACCCCATAAATATATATAGTATGAATTTTAATTAATTAAATCTTAGTACTTACATATACCAATGATTTCTACACACATGACAAGACATATCAGAACAAAACATATTGACTAGTCTACATGCATTGATCATGCATGCATAGAGCAAGGAATAAGACAAAAACTGTAATCTTTAATTCCACCTGAAATAGCTGGAAGGGTGGGACCATGGGTCACACTGGATCTTGCATTTGTGGAAAAGATGAAAATGTCATTTTCGTACTTCTTATCACATAGCCCTAGAAAGCTTGTTTAGTTCTATCCAGTTTCGTACAGACTAGTCCAATTATGTCATGTCATGTCTTGTTCTGTCATATATAACATATACAGTTTTAAGATTTGATCCGAAGCTCATACCTAAAATTTTCGAATAATGTTCTACAACATCATCTACTAGAGCGTCAAAGCTTGGAATATAGCAATGAAGACCTTCCGAAAGGCCAAGTCCCGGTAAGTCCATGGCATAAACCGCGTATCCACATGAAGCAAACTTTCTAGCAATTCCTATAACCATCAAAACACTTGATCACACTCTTGATGTCTTCAAGAAAATCGACTTCTTTTACAAGTTGTTAACTTGTTATGAACACATACCTTCAAAGAAAAATGTGCAAGTGTCTCCATAACCATGGCAGTAGCAAATTACAGCTTTGGGAGGTTGTGACGCCGGTAGCCAACTTTTTGAGAAAATTTCTATCCCTTTAGAGTTCGTCTCATATGACTAGAAAAAAAAAAAAAAAGGGGGGGAAATATAACCCTTCAAAAGTAATTGAAGGTATAACATTAGCATTAACATAAATTTTAATAATTGTACCTCCTTTGTCTTCAATCCTTCATATTTTGTCTGAAAAACATTTGAAATTAAGCAGTAAGTGTCATTCAAAGTGTATCCGACACTCATACATGCAACAAAATACAATTACATGAACCATGGATCCTAAAAATCGAATGCATATCAAGAAAGGCTGAAAGGATGAAATTCCTACCAAAAATTCTAACTTTTTGTAAAAATGGTAGACCATTTAAGCTATTTTGTTTAGTAAAAAAATATTAATTGATAAAATGAGGTCAAATTTGGCAATATTAGTCGAATTTGGGATTACAATTGAGGCATAAAATTTGAATCTAAAGTTTCTGGCAGCCATTGTTGTTGGTGTAATAAAGGCATGGAAATTAAGAAGATAGGGGCTTTATGTACTTGTTGCCACCCCACATGAGTTTTCTATTGTCTAATTAAATCCATCAATAAAATGCATTCAATAACATCTCACCCACAATACCTGTGACATCCATTAATCAATCGATATATGCATTCGAGAACATCTGAATTCACTTAAAATCATCATATTCTGAAATAAAAATCGAAACTTTGATGAAAATAATTACGTTGAACAAGATATGATCGATGTTAAGCTGAATATCCTTGAAGGCCTCACGTGCGGTGCGCCTTTCTTGCACGCAATCCATATTGGCATTGAGAATTTCCTGTAATTCAGGTGTTAATTCTACGCCCTTCAACATATTAGCAGCTGGAATAAGGAATTCTTCTTCCTCCTTATCGTTGGTGAGGGAAGTAAGACCCTAACCCTAAAATCTAACGTAAAACGAAGAATTCAAAAGAAGAATTGGAGTTGGTAGGCTTAAAGGGATAATGATGATGATTGATGGGGTTCGTTGTTATGATTTCCGTGAATCAAGTGAAACCCCCTGGTAAACTTTCCAATTCTCAATGTCGGATGTTGATTAAAGTTACCCAACCTGGCAATCTAAAGTCATAAAAAAAAAAAAAAAAAAAAAAAAAAAAAAAACGCAATCTCATTATCTTGATGACTGATTCAAAATCGCCGAGGAATTTCGAATTTTTTAGAGGTAATTAAAAACGGTTGCAATTTTGTGATTCGACTATTAAACAGACTATTTGTTTCGTTAACCATAATTTTCAATTAGAAAATGAACTAGGCAAAACTAAATAAACTAACCCTTACAAATGAGTAATTTATTAAAAAAAATATAATTTTTTTTTATAAAATTTATAAAATGACTACTTACTCCAAAATCCTTATAAATGAGTAAGTTATTAAAAATAACAAACTTTTTATGAGATTTATATAATTACCATTTATTTCAGAATATTGTATTCCGGAACACTTATGACCATTCTAGAGTTGATGGTGGTTTGTAGGTATTAGGTCAAACGTTTTGGACTGAAAAAGCGTATTCTGGAACGTACGGATATCCCATAGTGGTAAAATTGGCTATTTGTGTGTTCTTTGTTCTTCTTCAATGAGCATATACCTTTGTTATTGTGAGATTTGTTCCGGACTGTTGAAATTAGGTTTTGGATACTAAAAAAATGAGTTTGTATAAGGATTTTTTTGAGTGCTAGTATCTAGTGGATGTCAATTACAGCGAACTGAAGGATCTATGCAGTATATTGCTCTAGACTACACATGTTGTGGTGTAGATATAAGTAGTGATATCAAGTTCGTGGGTTAATGATGTTAATTGCTCACATGTAACATCCCAATGATGATGTATTATCAATTTTAACCCTATGTATGAAGAAATATTGCATTTTGGCCCTTATGCTTGAGAAAGATTACAAAATGGCCTATATTGGCATTTTTGTAATATGTCGGGCGGACTCATGTATGCTGGGCACACTCTTAGCGTACGCAGGGGGTACGTGGGTGAGCCACAAACCCTAATTTTTAGGGTTTGGACCATATATAAACATCATTAACCTTCAAGTGCTCACTCCTTCACCAACCTCCAACCCTCATTTCGTCCCTTTTGCAAACCCTAGCCCTATTGTTGCATCTTGAAACTAGAGAGTGTTTTTTTATACATTCAAAGAATGAAGAAGGTGGTGGGGAAGCTTGAAAGCTAGAAGTAAGCTTGGATCTGGAAGTTTTGCATCATCCTCAATCTCCAGAAGGTATAAAGTTCATACCTTGGCGATTAACTTGATAGATATTGCAGTATGGTGATATTATGAGCTTTTGTCCCCAAAATATGACCTTCTTGTGCATAACTTGCTATAGAACTTATGGGCTATCCTTGTTGGATGTTTTCTTATGTCTAGAGTGATAAAAATAGGATCTTGACTCTTGGTTCTCCCCATATATGAGTATTATAGTCTTAATGGATTAAGATATTGGGAGTTTTTAGTGTTAAGCACTTAATGGCCATGCAAGACCATAAAGTTGAAAACTTTATGGTCAAGGACGATGTTTGGGACAAGGATCTGCACTTTGGACGTAAGGGCTTAAAAATTAAGCACTTAATGAGTTGGGAAAACACTCTGTTGCGTATGCTGGGCGTACCAGGTGGTACGTTGCACGTACGCGGTCAACGCTCCATATTTTGGTCAAAAAGTGAGTACGCCCCGCGTATATTCGAAGTACGCCCCACATACAAGGGCTAAGTTGACTCAGCTGAGTTGGCCGGGTTGGGTTGACTCGACTGATTTCGTTGATTTGACAAATTTTGACCAAGGGTATTTTAGGAAATTGTTATTAATTTTAGTTGGGAAATATTTTGGATAATAGGTGTCGAGTAGTGCCCCTTTTCAGAGTAGAGATTCATTTAACTTGCATTCAGACTATGAGGTGAGTTTTCCTAACTGTACCCGTGGGTCGAAGTGTAACACCCGTAAAATTGAAGCCAATTTAAAACTTTTTAAAACGTTTAAAACCATTAAGTTATTACAATTTGTTTTCAAAATAGGTTAAGCATCAGAGTATCCCCAGAATCAAACATGAAAATATGATGAGGTGCACGATCACGCATTCGCCTTTCCGCGATCATCAGAAATACCTGAAATAAAATCAATATATGTAAGCCCGAAGCTTAGTGGGTTTCCCCAAAATATCAACGCCATACGAATATAACAATATCATATAACAAATACAGACATCATGCATAATGAGCCTTCAGCCTGACTGGATCGCCTCGCAGGCCTTCATTATATCTGGACCGCTCTCCAAGCCTTCAACACGTCTGGACCGCCTCGCAGGGCCTACAGCATATCCGGACCACTCGTCGGGCCTTCGGCCTGACTAAATCCTTTTGCAGGGCCTTCAGTTTATCCGAACCGCCCTGGGTATATTGGCCTACAACACAAAGAAGGACCGCGTAAACCCAACCCCCAACCAAACAAACATGTTCACATAAATATCATACACTATCTAATTTCATATAACAATCAAACCGATCTGACATATCACCAATCATAGCAACATCCCAATAATCGGGATACAAACCTAACTAGTCACTAACATAGCATCATCATATAACCAGGACAATCATGTGCATAATATATATATATATATATATATATATATATATATATATATATAATATAACACTAGCATGTATATATATAACAGTCAAACCGATATAACATATCACAAAGCATAGCAACAATCCTATAACCAGGTTATCGACCTAACAGGTCACTAACATAGCATCTCACCATCCTAACTACCAGGATGTAAATCAGTAAGTATAACATGCAATAGTCTGAATACAATCCATAAAGGGACGGCCTTGGTGCCTTAGACCCTGTTGATATAGTGAGGATAACTCACCTGGCACTACTGAAGTCCCGCCAATAAAACCTCAATTGCTGGTTGATAGATTCCTGAACTGTCAACATCAAACAACACTAATTAATAATTGGGTTTCAAGCCCAAAGTCCAACTCACACACTAAAGGCTCAATAGTCAAGTAATGGGCCAAAGCCTAACATATGGCCTAATTTTCCAAATTAGGCCCACACCCTCATACGGGCCTTACCTTAAGCTCATCAACATATTCTAATCCATATGATTATTCTTGGATGGCCTATTAATAATCCAATTACCAAGGCCGAACACAAAACCCAGGCGAAATTAGGGTTTAACATAAAATGACAATTAGGGTTAAGTGTTTCTCACGTAGCCCATTAAGGACTTAATCCATTAAGTCCCTCACTTTACTAAATAAGTCTTATGATGTAATTGGGCTTAATACCTAATTCCGTTCCATTAGCCCAAATATGGGTCCCGATAAGTCTAAGCCCATAATCCCAAAATTAGGGTTTTTCACATGAAATGATGATTAGGGTTAAGTGTTCCTACTTAACCCATTAAGGACTTAGTCTACTAGGGACTTAATCCATTAAGTCCAATATTACTTTTAGGTTAATTTTGCCAATGATTATTATTTAATATTTCAATTTATTAAATAATCTCGTGTGTGAACCGATTAATTCTCAAAATTAAGGTTTTATACCATTAGGGTTTTCCAAACCCTAATTAAGGTTTCCTATCCAATCTTGGCCCATTAATCAATTGGTTGGGTTTTTAGGTCACTTTGGGCCTTATTGGCACAGTAGGGTTCCATTGGGCCCACATTGTCCAAACATCCCCCAAATAAGGTCCAAACGCAAACACAGCACACCGCCACCCTATGAGGCGGCCGGTGGCGGCAGCCACCACCCTACGGTGGTGGTTTGATTTTCCTTTCATTATTCCAATTTTTACAATTTACAATGAACTCATGAAATAAACACACACACTATACTAAATAAACACACACCCGCAACATACACACCCTCCATGGCGGTCTTGAGGCGGCAACCACCATGGCCGGCGGCCATGGTGGTTTTTCTCCAGCAGCAACAACCATAGACATCCAAGCTTGTGAGACAAGCTGAAACACACACCCATTACACGCACGCACGCCCCTATTGCCCGAAAAGTAAACCCAACACCCACTGAGGTGGGTGGCGAAGGCATCAGTACAAGAAAACTGCACCAGCGGCGGCCATGGGCAATAACAACTTCGTCATCTGCGGCAGCCACCAGCCCACCATAGTCAGCGACCATGGTAGTTTTTTACGCTCTCCAGTCGACGTAACACCACAACCCAACCACTATTCCATAGTGGTTTGAGGCTGAACGCAACAAAACAATGGCGAAAAAGGTGGCGACTCCCACCGGAAACAGCAGCCACGGCAGAACAAAGCGTCGCTAGGTCTCGAAGTCGGAAAGGAAACAACTCCTGCCGATGATTTGTTGATGGATCATTACCGCGATCGAGACGTCGGCTGAATTGGCAGTTGCGGCGTCCGACGTCGATGTTCACGGCTCCAACGGTCTTTAGTGGTTCTCCCTCTCTGTTCACGACGCTCGACAGCAAGTCATGATGGTGGTGCTCGAGTTTGGCAATGCGGCAGCAGCAATAGGTGGTCATTGGGAGGTTGGCGGCTGAAAGGAGATGAAGGGAGGCGTAAGGCGAAGTGAAGACTGCATCATTTAGGTTTAGGGTTTTGAGGGTGACGGAAATGAAGGGTTAAATACCCGAACCCTTAAACTAATTCTCATAATGTCGTAAATGGCCCCTCCTTGTCCTTCATCCTTCAAATTCAGTCTAGAAATTACCATTCCTACCCTGCCTTCTAAAATCCTTACAAAATAAATCCGATATTTACCTTTTTAACCGTCGCTTCCATAATTTCTTTTATATTAGGTCCACCAATATATTGTTTTTCTTAATAGTCGGAAAGGAAACAGCTCCAGAAGGTGGAGGCGGTGGCTGCATGTTGTGGTCCGCAGTAGGTTTTTAACCTAAAGCTCTGATACCATGTTATACAATATATTGTTTTTCTTAATAGTGAGGCTTAAACCTCATATAAATAGGGATACATAAGGGGACTTTGGCCTAACCTAAATCCTAAGGGCCTTGGGCCTAATCCTTAGATGTTAACATATTAACAATAACATGAACCCATAGAGTATCCCCTTACCATATTTAAACAAAAGAGCTCTACTAAACACATAAACACTTCCCACTACTAAGTTGCCTTCTTCTTTACTAGAAATTACTTCCTTCCACTTAATCCATGTAAGCTTCTTTCACCTAACTTGCCCTGCAAAAAAAATCAAATTCTGAAATATTCAGATAGTCGATGATTATTTTAAGGACACAAATAATGTTCACAAAAAATCTACCAATGCTTCCACGGATTGATTCTTTAAATTGATTCATCCCCCACATATAAAAGTTTATCTTTCCAATTAAAAAGTCTAATTTTGAACTTATCCACAATGTCTTTCCAACTATTAATTATCAACATATTCAAACCTGTTAACAAACGATTTTCCCAAAAATCACCAAGATACATCCCACTAACATATAATACAAAATAAGTAAAGAGCTATGATTGTGGGCCAAATATACATGGGACCCACTATTAATAAATATAATGATAAAATTCAATACACAACTATATATACGACTAACATGCCCCTACAGTCAGAATGGGAGGTCTTGAACGGGCGTCTAGACTAGATCTGAAGTCGAGTAACAGTGTGGAAGGTAGCCCTTTTGTGAATATTTCAGCATACTGAGACGAAGATGGGACATGAAGAACTCAAATATGACCCATAACGACTTTGTATTGCACAAAATTAATATCGATCTCTATAAACTGAACCGGATTAGTGGACAAGTAAGCATCACTAATGTTATCACAATACACAAGCGTAGCGGAAAGCGGTGGATAGAGAAGCTCACGTAATAGATTGCATAACCAGGACGTCTCAACAACCGCATTGGCGATGCCCCAATATTTAGCATCAACACTAGACCTAGATATCGTACCCTGTTGTTTTGAGGACCATGAGAGAAGATTCGGCCGAAAAAAATACACAGTAACTAGAGGTGGAATGATGGGTCCAGGAGAACATAGCCCAATCAGCATCGAAGTAGGCTATCAGACCCCCAGAGGGGGATGCAAATAACTATAGGCCATGATCAAGAGTACCATGAAGATATCACAAGATTCAATTGAGAGCAGTGAAAAGTAGGGATGGCAAAAAAAACCGAACCCGACGGGGAAACCCGAAACCCGATCATTTCGGATCGGGTAACGGGTCATTATCGGGTTTTTTATCGGGTTCGGGGCAGGGAGTGGGTTATCCTCGCCCCGACTCGCCCCGCCCCGATTATATATATATATATATATATATATATATATATATATATATATATATATATATATATATATATATATATATATATGTTCAAAAATTTTTGCTGTTAATTGTACACGTTCAAATATAAAATACTTATCGTGGACAATTTTTTTAGTTATTAACAATCTGGTGTTAATGTTCATTTTTATGTGTTTTGACGTATTAAACAAAACTTAAATCAAATAATTTTTTATATAACGTCCAGTTTATTTTATTAAAGTGATGCATCATGTTTTTAATTTAAAAGAGTTGCTAGAACATGTGTATTTTATAAGACATTGGGGTACCCTAAAAGAGAATAAAGATTTCGTTATTAGTTGTTGTAAACCCGATAAGATACCCGAAACCCGAAGGGGAAACCCGAAACCCAATGGGGTGCCCCGATAAGATACCCGAAAGTTATCGGGGTGGGTTTGGGAATCCATGCCCCGCCCCGAACCCGCCCCATTGCCATTCCTAGTGAAAAGAGGATCTTTAGGATCATTCATGCAAAGGAAAACTTTTTGGATAACATATGGGATATCGGGACTAGTAAAAGTGAGATATTGAAGGGCCCTTGCTAGACTTCTGTAGAGAGTCGGGCCACAAATAGGTGGACCAATGCCATTAAATTTGGCAGATGTATTGGCAGAATTGTGAGTTGGTTGAAATTTACCATTTTAGCCTGATCTAGTATCTTTGTAGCATACTTTAGTTGAGATAAAAACTTGTCATGATTGTATCTAGTATCTGTAATACCATGAAAATAGTTCAGAGTGTCTAAGTAATTCATGGAAAACTCTTAACGAAGAATGGTGATGACATACTAAAGAAGACTGGTAAAGGAAGCTGTCAGAACAATATCATCCACATAAAGTAATAAATATGCAATCTAATCACCCTGTCTATAAATGAATATAGATGAACTAGACATACTGTTGGTGAACCCAAAACCTGTAATAAACTGAGCAAACCGATGATACCAGGCTTTAGAAGCCTATTTGATTCCATATATGGACTTATGGAGTAAGCAAACATGATTTGTAAATTTATGGTCACGAAATCCTAGTGGTTGATGCATGTATACGGTCTCCTGGAGACATCTATGGAGAAAAGCATTCTTCACATCCAGCTGGTGAACCAGCCAGTGGTGTGAAATAGCCAACCCGATAACAATCTGGATTGTAGCCGGTTTGACAACCGAGCTGAAAGTCTCATCACAATCCATGTTGGGTCGTTGACTATGACCGTTGGCAACAAGACGTTCCTTATACTGAGCTAATGATCCATCTACATTATGTTTCTTTTTAAACAACCAAATACAATTAACAACATCAGCAGTCGAGGACCGAGGCACAAGTATCTAAGTCCGATTAGAAATAAGAGCATTAAATTCTTCAGTCATAGCATTAAACCAATTTGGATCATGAAAGGCTTGATAGTAGTTTTCGGAAATAAGAAAAAATGATAAATCGGTGTGAAGGTTTAATTTATAAACGGGCTTGTAGATGTCGTGTCGAGCACAAGTCTCTATATGATGGGTGCGAGATGAGGTAGAGGGAAAAGATTGATTATTTTGAGGTGGATTAGGGGATAATGGGTGGGGGGGATTTAACTGAGAGATAGACGTGTCAGAGTTGGAAGAGTGCGACCGAGAGGAAGAAGGGCTGTTGGCGACAACAGTGGTAGTGGATAGGCTGGCGGAGGAGGTGACAACGAGAGTAAAGTCACTGTTAGGGTTGCTGTCATTGATGGGAGTCGTGGGGTTAGTCTCGAGAATTGTAGAAGAAGGTTGAGATGGATGGGTTGGATCATTCAAGTAGTTTCTTTGATTTTCGATGTTATGAAATCCATAATCAGGAGCCTTATTTAGAGTTAAGGAACCGAAAGGAAAGACGGATTCATCAAAGGTAACATGAAAGGAAATGATTATTTCTTTAGTATGGAGGTTAAGGCAACGATATCCTTTGTGATTGGAAGGGTATCCAAGGAAGATACAAGGAACATAGTGGGGTTACAATTTGTTGATATTGTTGAGGTGGGGGTAGCAAAAAGAACTGAAAACATGAAGGTGTGTATAGGATGGGAGTTTGTTAAAGAGTTTGTGAAAAGGGGTGTTAAGTTTGAGAGTGGTAGAAGGAAGAATATTTAGGAGGTGGACATCCATAAGAAGGGATTCTACCCAATATGTGGGTGGAAGATGGGCTTCGAATAAGAGGGTTCAAATAGTGTTGTTTAGAGCACGAAGGATACGTTCTGATTTTCCATTTTGTTGTTCTAATTTTCCATTTTGTTGAGATGTGTATGGATAAGAAAAACACATGTGAATACCATTTAAGGCACAAAGATGGTGGAATTATGTGTTATCAAATTCTTTCCCATTGTCGCATTAAAAAATTTGAATTTCAGTTTTGAATTAGTTTTTGACATATACACGAAAGTGAAGAAACTTAGAAAAAACATCAGATTTATTTCGTAATGGATATACCCATACAAAGAGAGAATATTTATCAAGAAATATGACATAATATTTGATTCCACAATGACTAATTAATGGTTAAGTCCAAAAATCAGAATGAATAACTTGAAAATGAGAGCTAACATTAGTTTGCGACAAATCAAAAGATAAACGGACATGTTTGCCAAGTTGACAAGCATGACATAAGACATCAGGGTCTTTTTTAATACACGGAATGAAATTTTTAGATAATAAATGCTTGGAGACTTGGGAGTCGGGATAATCAAGTCGTTGATGCCAAGTGGATGAACTAACAGTCAAAAACACTTGAGGGAATTGTTTGGTAAAAGGCTAAAGGTTACCTGTGCTGTCACATCTGATGATAATTTGTTTGGTAAGGTAGTATTTCACAGAAAACCAAATTCATCAATTCAACAGTGTATATTGTCACAGCTAAATTTGCGAACAAAAATAAGGTTTTTAATAATTTGAAGAGTAATGAGGACATTTTTAAGAAGTAACATACGAAAAGGATGTTGACTAAGGGGAGTGTTACCGACATGGGTAACGTGAATATGTGATCCATCACCAACTACAACTGAAAAATTATTACAATTATTCTAACGGATTTGAGAATACCAGCGTAAGGTGTGCAGTCTCCCCGATATCCATGTACCAATATGCATTTCCAGGCTCTTGAAGGTTCATGGTACTAAAAGCTTGAGGGAGAGCTGTGGGTTGATCAGCAAAAAAATTGGGCCAACTGCCAATTAAATGGTTGCTGGTGTCAAGGTTCAGCAAATAGAGCCTCTTGGGCCAATTGTTAAGTAGGCCAAGGAAACTGCTGTTGAGAGTGGGCTTGAGGCGAATTGGGCCATCATGCTTACTGCGGAGAAGGGAGCAGCCCAACTGCTTGTTGTTCGGTAGGAGTAAAGCCCAACTGGGGCTAGGTTAGAGGTGCAC